TCAGGCGAGTCCTCTCGCGATTGCTCGTGGTTAAGAAGTTCCTCAAAGTATTTTGTCATCATTGGTTAGAAGGCGTGTGGATTTGTCATGCCAGAGTTTAGGCAGCTCTTCCTTCCTTCTCTGGCGGTAGTGGATGATCTGTAACAATCCGTTGTCTGCCATCCGTAAATTCTACTCCAGCACCTCACATTTCCTAGGAATCAGCTTTCGGTTTGGCTACTGTTTTCGCCTCCGCCCTGTGCGCTTTTCTGAACCCCATTCAATTTTAAGGCTCTTTGCTATCAAGTTGCCACCTAAAAACAACAGTTATCTTGCTAACAGCCGTTGAACCCTCTGCTGTCCAACGGGAAGCTCGTTTTTACCCTCACTGTAGAGGCCAATCCGTTTTAAACAACCGCTTAAGCAAATTACCTTGAATTTACAGGAACAAGAGAAGACCCGGATGATGGCCAATATTAAAATTAACGGTTCAGGGAAGGATTTCAAGACCTGAAATACCGGATCTTGGTAAAGTTAAGAAGTATATCGAAAATATGTGATGTAATTTCTTTTGAAGTGAATTTGCCTCCTTGTCACTTTCAATCATTGTTTTATGTATATCACATGCATCATCTATGCATATTGTTGTTTGGTTATGTTTTTCCAAAGTAAGTGTCGTATCTGACAGTTGTACGAAACTCAAACTGGATGTCATCATGTGCCATCAGCACCAGCAGTCTATCCGATCCGCTGCCGACTGAAGGCCTCTCAAAGGTTTTGTCTGGAATTCTCTATCTTATAATTACTATCGTTGAAAAGCTCAAGCAGATTTCCTAGATGATTGTATAATTGATTTTGAGGTCTTCCCTGGAGCAGTAGCGGTTAACTGTTTGATCTGCAGTAATCATCGGCTCTTCCAGCACTATTTATGCTGTTGTAACCTTTTCAACGTGACAAAGCACATTCGTGTTTATGTTCTTTTCGATTCATCCTTATTTTTGTTTCTTCTTGCAATTTTCAGCATATACGTTTCCAGATTCGTGTACTGATTTCATACTGAAAAACAACACGGTTTATTCATGCCCTAAGCGAAAACATGATCAATCGAGTGATTGACCAGTGCCGATGCTTCAGGACATCTTTAAGGTATGGAGGTGGGTTCACTGGCTTCAGAGGTCCTTCTGTTATTCACAGTTGTTGGCGTGTGGTGTGGCCTTCTGGCTTCATGTAGATTTCCATGCTGCATTACGTAGTCTGTAGTTTCTGGACAGCTTTCAAGCTTCGGGTCAATGTTTTGCATCCTTAGATTAGCTCTTGAAGCACTCAGTGGTCGAAGACATTCCGTTTGAAGCACAAAGGCAATTTTCCGGATAAGAATTCCGCATTCAGTCTTCGGAAAGTGCTCCATGCCATTTTTACTCTTCTGGCGATTTCGAAGAGTCGGTCCTCGTCCCAGAGATCGGTTGCTCCAGCTTTGTATCGCTTCAAGCGTAGATTCATTGACTTCAGTTGGTGGAGGAGTCACGCATTTGTTAGTTATAAGTCTTGTTCAGGTTCTATTCCATATGATGCTATTTTTATACTTCGTTCTGTAGTGGCTGTGATGATTGATGACGTCAGTCCGTTTATAAACTTCCTCAACTCGTTTTACGGATCTTGCATTAGAAGATTTTTTTCTTTTACAGTCGTTCAGCACTGAATCCGGAAGAATTCCAACACACAAAGTGATTAATTAGAAGCCTTGATTTACAGTGAGCATATGTTTTATTTCCTCGTAATTTCAAAACAAAAAAATGCTCTTCAGGCTATCTCTTTCGGTGGCTGTTGCGACCAGCAAAAGACGTTCGTCTCGAAGAGGGCGTTGTCTCGTGTTTGCTATTGCTACCAATCGTCCGTCGTCGGAGGACGACGATGAGGCTAGGGGCAGAGGTCGGCACGACGGCGCTCGTCGTTAACACTACTCAATTAGTACTACCAGCAGATAAGTGCTTTCCGACGACCTCCTCGCAACCTCTTCGCCTCTGCCACGGTGCTTTCGTAGCAGACGCCGTGGAATTACGAGCCTGCGTCATAAACCCCCGCGACGATTTACTTTCAGCCATTAAAATTTCACAACCCGTTGCTACACTATACAAGACAAGCATGACTTCGAACTGATATGTTAATTGTTATTCGCATTCTGAACGATCCTCCATTAAAGCAATTATTTATGCTGTCTTTCCTCAGAAAGCGCCATCGTTATCAGCCAGTTAGGTTCATGAAAACTGAGTTCCAGAGGGAAGCGCTTCTTCCATCGCTGTTATTTGCGTTTCGTCTCTTCGCCGCGTTATGGCGCATCGGCGAATGCTCGGTGGCGATTGATCGAGACTCGTAAGCAGGAAATAAACACCTCATTCGACAGACCCCTGACCGCCTGCTGTGCTTCGAGCACTTGTTTCTACGACGTATTGAAGCAGCAGTGGAACAGACGACTTCCTCACGTAAGGAAAGTAAGTAAAAGCGCGAGGAAAGAACATCGTACGAACTTGTCGCCTCGTCTACGAAAGGAGGTTAGCAGCAGGAAGGTTGTAGTGTTTCCAGATCGGCTTCGATCGAGCGATCGCAGTTTATGAAATAGATTTCTTACCAATTACATGAGTGAAACGGTGGCTTCCATGGCTGACAGATCTCTGTCTATCTCATTTCAGGACAGTCTGAGAACAGACTCAGAGGAAATGAATAGGATCCTCAGCTAATCAAATCAGTTATTAGCTTCTCTCGCGATAGCTTTCAGACAATTATTATGGGAAAAAGAACTCAACGATTAAAGCACGAAGAAAATGAGTGGCGAAATCTTTCCCTCGTTGCCTACACTTATCATGTGAATAGAAAAAGACGACTTATGAACAATACGAACGGAAAACTCGAATCGTACTACATGAAGATGTGCTGAGAAAATTATATTTTATCAAAGAAGTGAAATGTGCAGTTGCCGATTATTTTCTGTGGACACGTGATTTCGAAAGGCTGTTCGTACGCCAGTCTATATCAAATAGAGCATGATTCCTCCAAGATCAGATTTTACATCGTATTGCGCTATCCCTCGTTCAAATTTTATGGAATAATGGCCTGCTTAAATGGTCCCTTAAGTAAATAGGATGAGGAGAGCGGCGCCACATTCTTTTGAAGGAATTTTGTGCCATGTG